AAGCTAATAAGTCCATTACAAGTGTTAATTTTTTTTCTCTTACTTAAACAATTATATATTTTTTTTTCTAAGTAATAAAAATTGTTTGAATAAAAATAAATAAATGAAAGGTTTGAATCAAGTTAGCAGAATTCACGTATTACGAATTAGGACTACCACAATTGGTCTATTTTTAAAACATCTTGGAAGATAGACATCTCAACGAATACGAGGCTTTAGGATAATAATTTTACCATATAACGGGGATTACCTCGAAAATCTATATGATTTATATTATGATTATATTTTTAAAAAAAATAAAATGTGTGATATTTTGATATATTTTTTTCCCTATTCGCTTAACAAATAAAAGAGTATTTTAAATTTTATTACTTTATCAGATAAGAGTAAGTCAAATTCTATATAATATTATTTACTACTAATAGATAGCTTTGATACAAAATTTATTAAGACACGTTTAACCTACTCTAAAAATCTTTGACAATTTTACCATTAATTATTTGAGCCATTTGTAATTTATATTAAAAAAAAATTTATCAAAAAACGAATATAAATTATATTATTTTTCAAAGGTTCATGGCGAAATTTCAAAATAAAAATTACACATTACACAATGATGAAGAAAATGAATGATATATATATATATTATTAAATAAAATTGTTATATCGTGAATCTAATAAGTATAGTTACCTAAAGTTGCTTAGAGATAGGAAGGGCCTTTGTAGTTGAAACATCCACTATGGAACATATGTTTAGGTAAAATTTCGCAATTTCATAATATTTTTATAGTAAATCTAGAAATAATTTTGCTTTAAATTTCTTATTTTCTATCTAATATAGTGCGTGTAAAAATCCAAAAAAAAAATCTATTTATTAACTTAAAAATAATTTTTATTATTTTTTCTGTTTTAAATGTATTTTACGATTAACTTAAACGAAAATTTATATATGATATATTAAAGATAAAGAAAAGTAGTTACTTCATCATTAAAAATGTAACATTTAAACTTTAAATTGATAGTGATACATCATGAAAAGGTAATAGTGGCCTGATTATTGGTCTTATTCAAACCTTGCGCATGGTGCTGCATTACAAATGCATAATTTTTTTAAGGGCTAGTTATCTGAGAATTCGCCAATATATAAATTGGATTTTAATGAGTTTCGAAATAAGGATCGTTGGGAAGCTATAAGAATGAGTAATCAAATTAGTTGGATTTTATCAACATTTTAAGAAATGGTATATAATATAATATACGTTCTATTGAATTCGCATATCAAATAATAAATAATTAATTTAGGTTTATGATAAATAAAATATTCAAAATTATTTAGCCAATTAATTTTAAGAGAAAATTTAACCAAAGTATTATATAAACAACCCCCCCCCCCCAAAGAATAATAAAGTCAGGGCCATTCAAATAAAACATTTTTTTTCTCTCTTTAGCTTCCACCTTTTCTGATGGTAAGCTCCATCTCTCTCCACTTTATGTTATTCATTAATCTCTTTTGTCTAATTTATACTTCTTTATATTGGCTCTAACTTTATGGCCCCATTGAAGTTTTGGCCTTCCTCTTTTTCGTTTGCCCATCACTTCCAAACTCTCAACCTTATTTCCTATGAAGTGTAAGGCCTTCTCATTTTGTGCCCATACCACCTAAGTCTGTTTACCATTAACTTAATCTTAATGGGCACTACCTTTAAACTACTTAGTATTCTTGTACTGCGCACTTTATTCTTTCTTGTTACCCCAGCAATCATCCTCAGCATTCTCATCTCCATAGTTTGTAGACTTCTCTCGTCTGATTCTTTGGCCATGTTTCCGAACTATATAGAATAGTTGGTTGTACTATGGAATTGTAAATTTTTTAATTTGTGTGGGATTCTTTTGTCAAATAGCACTCCAGATAAAGATCTTTACTTTTACCACCCTTGATTAATTTTACTCTTTATCTCTTTTTCTTTTGTGCCGTTTGTTTGTATAGTGGAGCGCACATATATGCAGCTTTCAATTGCCGATATATGCCATTCATTTATATCAATACTCTCTGTTCCATCTCCTCCTATCACCATATACTCTCTTTTCTCTATTTACTTTTAGTCTGTGCTTTTCTATGATATTTATTTAACTCACTAATCTTTCTTACTTTTCATGCTTGGATTCGGCAAATATCACAATATCAGCTGCAAATATCATATCTCACGGAACTGTTTGAGGTATAGACTGTGCTAACTATTACTGTAATAAAGAGAAGTGGGCTGAAAGATTACCCTTAATGAACTCCTTTGGATATTGTGAAGCCTGCTGAAGTCCCTGTTGTGCAACGGACTATTGTTGTATGGCCCATATACATTATGTGCTTATTTCTTGTTCTGTTATAGGTTGTACAAGGTTTTGACATGGGGAGTGTTAAATGTAGTATGTGGGGATTAAAGTTGAGAAGCTCCTGAAAATATTCTTTCCATTTATTCATTATTTCTTTTTCCTTTATTATCAATTTCCCATCTTTATTTGATTACTTTCGGAGCTCCGTTTAAATCCCTAGAGTTCTTTTTTTGGCTAATCTGTATATTTTATTTTGCCCTTCTTTGGTATGTAGTTCTTCATACATGTCATCGTATGCCATAGATTTGGCCCTAGCCACGCTTTTGTAGCTAATCTTTTGGATTTTTTGAAATTTGTCTTGTCATCTGGGTTTTTGGATTTCATATTTTATATAGGGCTTTTTTCTCCTTTATAGTGGTTTGTACCTCTTCATTCCACCACCATAGTTCTTTGTGTGATTTGTTGCCTCCCCTTGTCAAGACAAGTGTCAATTTGACAGTGTCTATTAATATGGATGAAAGGTCTGTCCAGATTTTTTCACTGACTTGTGAGGAATCTATTGTTTCGATGTTTGCATTGATTGCAAAGGCATCTGTCATTGTTTTTAATTTGCCCCATTTGATTCATGGTTCCAGTTTTATCTTGTTTTGAGTGGATTTATTTGAGATGTGTAAATCCATGAATAGTAGCTTGTGTTGTGCGGCTATGTCTTCTCCTGGGATGACTTTGCAGTCTATTACATCTTTTAATCATCTGCGAGTACACATGTAATCTATCTGGATTTTCCTTGTACCATTTTCATATGTTATTAAATGACTGTCTTTTTTTCTATAGTAGTGTTGGTTATGAAGGTCAAAGCGCAAATTTCAATACGTGCTCTCCTTCATCATTTTTTTCTCCATATCCAAAACCACCATGTTGCCTTTCGTAGCTATCTCTTGCTTTCCCCACATGCGCATTTGAGTCACTACCTATTATGACTAGGCCATCCTTAGGGATTTCCATTACAGCTTCATCAAGGATAGCTCTAAAGTCATCTTCCTCTTCTTCCTTGAAACCATTTGAGGAGCATATAAAAAGGATGTGTAATATTGATTGACCAATGCAGAGTTTTATCTTCATTAGTCTATCAGAGATCCTGTTGACTTCCACTACTGAGGAGGTTAGATCTTGAGTGAGGATGATGCCGACACCGTTCCTATTGCTAACTACCATTATAGTACAATTTATACCCATCTCTAATCATTAAAGTCTTTTGACCTTTCCATTTCGTCTCTTGTATGCACGCTATATCAACTTTTCTCTGGTTCAACATTGATGCCAATTCTCTCATCTTTAAGCGTCCCAATATTTAAACTTGCTAATCTTGTCTTCTTTGCATTGACCTTTACTTTACTTTTAACAGGATGGGGGTCTACACCCTGCGCGTCGCTTGGAGGGAACGCCCTACCTTTCATATTCATCTTTCCATTTGTTTCCTTCATTTTGTTTATTGCACAGGTATCCTTAGCATCCGGTTGTCCTAGCACCCCGGGACCGGGGTGTCATCTCTAAGCTCCGAAATTCATCTTTTTACACATCAGTCAACGAAGAAAAACTTGAAAGTTTTGATGCTCTTTACCAGGATTGAACCTGCGTCCTTCTTCGTCCTTCTGTTTCCAAGCATACATCTAACCCATCAGGCCTTAAAACATAATTTTTAAATAAAAATTATTACTAATATATATTCATTAAATTGAATACGATCATATTTATGTTTAAATTCATATAATAAATGGTACTCTTAGACCCCCTTTCATCGCTGTCTAGGAATTTGTTCAGTCTGAAATACATCTACAGAAAAGAATTAAATCTTTATATCCATTTCCTATTTTGTATATCCCGTTGTGGGTATTTATCGGGTTTCCATCACATTAATTTTAAATATCATATTAAAGATCTATATAATAAAATTTAAATATTTCTCTATTTTATTCTTGAGATATTAATGATGGAAATCACATACGCCATATATGATAATATTTTTATATAATAATTGAAAGTGTTATCATTTTGATATTACATTTTGAAGAAAAATAGCTAACAATCTCACAAAATTATCAGAGATAATGCTTATTATTATTAAATTAAACGATATGAGATTACCAAAGGGAAAAGATTAAAGAACAAAATAAGAATATATTTTGAGTTTTAAATATGTATATATATCCTAGTTCAATTTATAATAAAGCCAAGTCAAGAGCTAGCTCCATTGGGCAGAGCAGGCCTTACAGTTTTGAGCCATGGGTAGACTAGAGTCGAAAACATCGATTTTCTCAGGTTTCTAATATAGGATAAACTAAAAAATTATAGGTGAAAATAATTGTAAATTGAATTACATAAAACGTGTTTTAAAATATCCAATAGAATATAATAACAAGGACAACTCTAGATTATCATCTTTGGATAGGTCATACTATTTTACCTTTACTGTAGTAAATAAATAAAACCAAACAATTTGACAAAACCGATTAAATTGTAATTTATGATTATTTATTTGGCCAAAAATTTTATAGTAAATCTATTTTTTATAAAAATATTTAATATACGCGATATAAATATGTTTATCAAAAAAAATGTAGACATGTCATGGATGATGAAAATGAAGCGATATTTTAACAATCAAGGACATTGAAAATTATTATAAAGGAAAAAAATTTTGGAAATATTAGTTAGAAAAATATATTTTATTACATTTGATAAACCTTGCTGGTTTAATTTATTAAAACTTATAAAAATATGTTGCAAATTAATTCTTTATTCCTATGGGTATGTATTTTAATTTTTCAATTACATATTAATAACTTAATACCTTTTAATGGCAAAACCAGATAATTAATTGCCTTAACATTAGTTTGCTCCTCGATAATACAATGCGAACCCTAAAGGTAGGTTCTTATTTAGATGTAAAATTAAAATCAGTAATCCACTGTGAATATTAGTATCCCCTCATTTGAAATTTATAAATAAAAAAAAATGTTTTGTTATAATGATAATTTTAAAGATGATAGGTCGTTCTAATACTCATAACGAAAATTGATTACTGGAATATTTTTCGTGAATTTTATTCAATTGGTAAATAATGTACTGGGCAATTTCTTTCAAAAGAATTTTATAACAAAATATAAATGACAAATTTAATTTAAAATTTATATTTAGATATTATATTGAAGGGAAAAAGATCATTGAAAAGATAAAATAATTATTAATTTTTCTTAGAAATAAAATAACTAGGCATACTTTTTTTCGATAAGATTTATTTAATGGTGCAAATTAATTCTATGTTCCTCATGGTAAAGTATCCTCATTTATATATTGTCCAGTAGAATTAAAACACTTATTAATTTTAAAAAAAAACAGATGCTTGTTTTAACTTTCGTTTTTTCATCGATATTACAAGTCCGACCTGAAGGTAAATTACAATCTAATTAATTTATTATCGTTTAATAATCTCACATCTCTGAACTTCCCCACTATCTATCCAACACTAATTTTTTTTACCCTTACTTTTCAAAGGCCCTCATCTATTTTTATCAAAGGTGATAAATTTATTTCCAATTTTTTCGATATTATTAAACCAAAAAATTTATATAATTTTTATTTTATTTTCTTAGAAGGCTTAGAAGTTCAATCTAATGATCATCGAGAAACAACTATATCCAGTAAACAAGAATATTTATATTTTTGTATTTTCCAGAAATTATATTCATTTTACAATCATAAATATACATTTGATATGATATTCATGCTCAAAATTCATGAGAATATTTATATATATATTTTTTTAAATGCCATGCGAAATACTCCTGCATATTGATGTGAAATAAAAAACATTTGTAAACCTTATGTTGACTATATATATTAAATATATTAAATCTCACGTCATTAAAAGTCGTAAGATTTCGAATTACCAATTATTTTTCAGCAAAATTTTATCTATAGCATGGCAACTGCAATTTGAGTACGATGCTCAGATTTCATGAGTGCTACAAGTGTTAATTTCTTTTTTCTTACTTAAACGATTATATATATATGTTTTCTAAGTATAAATAGTTTAAATTAAAAATAAATAAATAAATAGATTTGGGTACTGTTAGATGTTTTCATGTAACACGAATTAGGACAACTACAATTGGTCGATTTCTGAAACATATTGGTCGTAGATGAATCTTTCAACTTGTACGAGGAGGCTTTAGGATAATAATTTCAGCATTGGGGACATAATTCACTACTAAATTTTTATTATTTATATTATTTTGATGATATTTTAAAAAATTATAAAATGTATGATTATTTAGATATTGTTTTTTGTTTCTAATTTCGCTAACAAATAAAAGAGTATTTAAAATTTTGTTATCTTACCAGATAAGAGTAAGTAAAATCTAATTATATTAATATATATATTTGTAACATTTTTAATGCATTTTTTTTCACCAATGTATTAAAAATATTATGTAAATGCGTATATTTTTCTAGATTTAAATACATGATTTTTAGCGGGATATTTATTGAAACAGGTTTAACCTCCTGTCTATATTTTGTATAATTTTGACATAGTCAAGAGCTAGTCTGGCCATTGGGCAGAGCAAGACAAACAGTTTTTGTGAGCCATGGGTAGGCTAAAATCGAAAACATCGATTCTCTCAGGTTTCTAATAAAGGATAAACTAAAAAATTACAGGTGAAAATATAATTAAATCTGAATTACATAAAACGTGTTTCTAAATATCAAATAAAATATAATATCAAAGACGATTCTAGATTATCATCTTTGGGCAGGTCATACTATTATGCCTTTACTGTAGTAAATAAAGAAAACCAAACAATTTGACAAAAGGATTAAATTGTAATTTATGATTACTTATTTGGCCAAAAATTTATAGTAAATATATTTTTTTTAATTAATAATATTTTGTTTGTTTGGGTAGTCTAAGACACCTGTATATCATTTGGACCCCAAGCCCTAAAATTATTCAAAATAATAAGGCAAAGGTCACGTTTAATCATAAGTGATTCAAAAGAAGGCTTCTACCCACGACAAAGAATATCAATAAAGTTTTCGATCAAACTGTATATCTATACATGGTTCATTAAGCCCCGCCGACCAAACTTAAAATATTTTTTTTTATTTTTTTTTTCTCTCTTCTTTTAATTATATATTTTTATAAAGTTATAGTATATTAATTATAATTTTAATATTCTTTTAATAAATGATCTATTCACATATTAAAAATAAAACTAATTATTTGTATATTATTTAGATTCATTCATACATATTTTTAGAAGTAACTAGTTACTTCTGGCAGTTACATTTCAAAAAATATAACTAGTTACAGTTACTAGTTGCAATTTTTAAAAATATAACTAGTTACAGTTATTATTTTTAGCAAAAATCTAACTAGTTTTACTTTTAACTATTAACTTTAAAAAAACTAGTATAAATGAATAAAGGAATATTATTCGATATATAATATTTTCTTCTCGTGATTCGAATATTATTTATTTGATTCATGAAATCGAAATAGCGTCGTTATTGGAAATATAATGTCCGATTTATTTCAAAAATATGCGCCCCGCATATGGAAATAATAAATTAATAAAATAAGAATCATACACAATAAATATTCATTAGAATTGCTTGAATTTTAATAGAAAAGCTAAAAAAATTGCTAATTTTCATACCTTCCCTTAGTAAATCATATCGATTTAACTTATTGGATATAGCGTCTATTGTCCCCAGCCAAGATCTCACACTTCACTTTAATATTTTGTGTTATATAACTTAAAATCCTAAAAGTCATGATAAGAAATTATTTCTCAGATATTCTATTTAAAAGGCGACAACTGAAAAATTTAGGGAAAAACTTAGATCCTAACGCAATGAGCTACTTTTTTTTCAATTTGAGGATACTCGTAAAAATAAAAGAAGAAATTTTTTCCAAAATTATCCAAAAAGGAAAAATCTTAAAATAAAATTACATATTCAAAAGTAAAATTCTTTTTAACCTTACTCATATTTTACCTTCCTTCTTCCCATCTTCTTAAACCCCAACGACACTCTTTCAAATTTGTCATAAGTTGTTAGTATTTATTACGTACATATCATTACTAGCATTTCAATAATTTTGAAAAAAAAGTAGATTCAAATAATGTTGAATAAGCTGGATCAAGGTCTTGGGGCACAATTAACAGAAAAGGTTAGCTTAAGTGTTGATATTTATCAATGCTAATATTGTTTTAAAATTTGGATTAAAAGAATAAAGGCTTAGGAAAATACCCGTGTGTTTCATACCAGATTTGCATTGTTTGGGACTTTCATGAAGGAATAGCTACTTTTCGACCGATACATGTTGCGATTGTTAATGATGTCTAAATATAATATAGAATTTATATATATATAAATATTATAATTAATTGGTTACATAGCGACGGGAGAAAAATAATCAATCAACAAAAGGAATATGACTAATTAAAATTTAGACTTATTATTGTCAAAATAAATATCAATAAATTGATAATAAAAAATATATAAATTTTAGTGTCAAAAATAAAATATTTTTGTTTCACTTTACCAAAGTATGGTGATTGGATATTAAAAAAAATTATTTAAATATGATATATTCGCTATTATTTTTTATATTAATTAATGTAAATCATTTTGGGTATTTATTTTTGTATAAACTACTATAAAATGTGTAAATATTAAGAAAATTTTTTTTTTAACTAACAAATGGTAGCTGACTAAATGAGATGTATACCTATATAGTTAATTTTATTTGTAAATAATTTGTTTTTTTTTTCAAATGAAAAATAAAACCAGGGCATATTTGGATGAAATAATAACGATATGTGATATACCACTATAATTTTTTAATAATTATTAATGTTATAGAATTTTATCATTCTGTCTGACTCTAATCAAATGAACCTATAATTAATAATGTAATTATATTAGTTTTAAAAATAATTTTTATATATAGATTGAAAGCTGGCTTAAAATGGATTTAAATATTGAACGGTTCTACTTTGGTAGAGTTATGTATACTATAACCTTTAATGGAAGATGAATTTCTTGGACCCAACTGTATCCTAAGACTCCAATGCGTTCTTATCCATCTATCGTGATAAAAGATAGATTCAAAGTATAAATAGATAATCTATGATAGGCTTGAACAGGTGTTGGAAGTGGATTACTTCATATGATATAATTTTATTAGCCACATGTGGAATAAATCGAATTAAAAAAATTTAGAAAAAGAAAAGCTTTCTTTCTTTCTAAATCGTTCAAAAAATTTTGTATGTCAGACCATTTAATATATACACACACAATTGTGAGGCAATGGAAAAGTTTAAATAATAATATCTTATGAACTATCGAAAAAAAGGCAAATAAATATTTAAAATAATACATTTTTTGTTAACACATGCAAAGGAAAAATTATTGTTATTTGTACATGTATATTAAATAATTATATTGAGTAATAAAATGTTTGAATATTGATAAATTTTAAATATTATATTCATTATATTTTAAATATAAATATACCAAACAATCAATGGTATTTATTTATGATATTGAGTATTTTATATTTGTAGGTAAATGAGAATTATTTCAACGATTCGTTTAATTAAAAATTAATTAACACTATATTAATAACCCGTATAACAGTTGCCATGTTGTAGATAAATTTTGTGAAAATTTTTTGTGTACCCTAATCAAATCTCATGGTTTTTAATGACCTGAAATAAGTATAATATACTTGTAATCATCATAGGTGTCAAATTGTAAATTATTCTTTTAAGCAAGAATAGGCTGGGCTATTTCTACACACCAGCAGATCTCTAATGTAAAACTTATCTATTAAATTGTTTTTCATGAGAAAGATATATCCCAATTCATTCTAAAAAATTATACGACTTATAAAATATTTTGAACCATATAAAATTAAAAGATTTTATTTAAATCATAAAATCTTAAACTAATACACTGCAAATCAATTAAAGAAACCATTTTTAAATATTTGATGAACAGTTTTCATTAAAATTAGGTTAACGCTGATGAAAAGTAATAGTAAATAAAACAATGGTTACACCGTTGAGTATTTTGAAATGTTACAACCGATAATAAATTTATTAAGACACCTTCAGGTATTTCAGAATTGTGTTATCGGTGAAAAGACGGAGGTTAAAACCGCCTATATCTGTTTTTAAAAAGTTATTAATTATTATATATATTTAGCCTCAATGTGTTTATTTTTTTTAAAAAACTTTTACTCAATTTTTGGTTGCGTTTACAGGAAATGAATTCCAATCATATCTCCAATACCCTATCCTATCTTATGTATATTCGGCAAATTGCAGTTTAACCATTGAGTTCATTTATAATTTTAAAAAATAACATTATGTTTAAAAGTTCACTAAAAATACAGATTTTTAAAAAATTTGATAATTACCCTCTCAAAGTATTATTTAAATATGAAATGAATATACTCCATACACTGAGACATATTTTATAAAATAAAAAATTATTTTTAAAACCTACCATCATTAATATATAATTATTTTGCACTATTTGATAAGTTTCAACTAATCTAAAGAGTATAGGTCTACGCCTAAATTTATAGTAATTAATTTCCTTATGAATGTTTTATAATTATTATTATCTTTCAATGCCTTTCTTCTCTTTATCACCAACGTAATAATTAGATATGATAATTATGATAATTTATCATTCAGGTGTTTATAAAATATGTTTTAATATTAATATGGTAAATATGGCCCTGACAATAATAATGACATCAAAAAAATTATTTTATAAATTTTTATAAATTTTTTATAAGTTTTCAACTATTAAAAAGAATTATATAAAAATATAATAAATCTTGTTTATAAAGTTTTTTTTATTAGTAGGGGCAAATCAAGATGGCTTATTTTCAGCTGATTTTGTCGCGAGACTTCAAAATTGCATTTTTTTAAAATGAAATGCCAGTTAAGGTAATTATAAGTTATTGCTATCTTGTCATTATTATAATTGATGGCGGACAGTTACATAAATAAAGACTTATTGTAACAAAAGGGGGTAAATTAGAATAAAAAAATCGATAAAAACAATTCCCCTATTTTCTAGAGAATATCTTATTAGGAATATATAATTAAAAAAGATGATATTTGGGTATCAAGTTTTACGCATGGCAATTAAAGAAGTTTTAACTTTATTTTGTTTGAGATTTTACCTAGTTTATTCATTTGGGTTATGTTGTTTAGAAAAGTTTATAATTCAAACTAAACCGAAAATAAACTAATAACTGAATTAAACACTTTTTATTTTTTGTATTAATGATATATATCTAAGA